ACTTTAGGAGGAGCACACAGGTATCATGTGAGGGGAGCTGACTTTAGGAGGAGCACAGAGAGATTCGTGTGTTCGCTTGGAGAAGCACATTAGCTCTGCGCTAGTTGACGCTAACCTGCTGTGACTGTGTGTCTGTTAACTGCTTATATAAAAACACCGACACTCTTCTACTGACGAACATTTTCACTCATGATCTAATCACATAATAATAATCACCTCCTTCTTCTTCTTCTCCTCCTTATTCTCCACGTGTGGATCGGTCGCTGCCGCCTCGCCGGTGGTCGCCATCTTTGTTGTATACGTTTGTCAGTCCCTGTGAGGCCGCATGTGAAACACGTCATTTCCTGTTTCATATTCGCTGCTCTGTTTTTATTTCATTTAATGAATTCTTTGAATCTATTTTATATTTTAAGTTGCTGTTACACAAAACTGAATAAAATATATCAAGCATTTTACACATGCAAACGTGTAATTTTAAATTGTATTTACGTAAGTAATTATGTTCAGAATGATGTTAGGCTTTAGAATTATAAGGACAATTGGACAAATTTCTATCTTTTTTATTGAAACTGCTAAAATACTTACATACATCAATTAATTAATGCAGAAGTAAATAAGTTAATACATAAATAAATTAGGGAAAAGGCTTATTATGTATTTCTACATTTATTTATTAATTTATTTCCACGTTTGTACGGAAGCCCTAAAGGGTCGTACATACATACATTTTATTCCACCCGTTTTCCCGTGATAACGAGATAATTAATTCGAGATCTCGAGAAAACAAAACGTATTAAATCATTGCAGGAAACATCATTTAGTGTAGCAGGAGAATACCGATCACCGCATCACATATCTCTTCAATCAAGGCCTGACACAGGCTGAAATAGCTTTATGCCTTGCTATAGATAATGTACACATTAGTGTGCYTCATCTGAGAAGACTACGGAAGCCGAGAACGGCCATCGATTTTTTAATTTTATCATCTCGTTATCTCGATATAACAAAGATCGTTTTCTCATGATAACGAGGTATTTTTCTCGTTATCACGGGAAAGCGGAGGAAAATTATCTCGTTATCACGGGAAAACGGGTGGAATAAAATGTATGTATGTAGGACCCTTTAGGGCTTCCGTACATCTGTCCATTAGTTTATATTAGAATTGTCATATTTTGCAATCCAAAATTAATGAACTTAATTTTCTCATTCTTGTGGTTGTTTTTCTGCCTCTTTGAAGACATTTTACTTTGTAACTCTTTGTAGTTGTTTGACCTTTTTACAATATATGGTAACTGTGAGTTTATGGATGAATGACTGACATTCCTCCATTTATTACCATGCATGTTAAAAGAACATCTAACTGCAGTTGTGCTTATCCATTCTCTTCTCACCAAATCGTATGACCTCAAAATGAGTAGCGTATGTTTTGACAGTTCCCAAATGGCCAATATTGTTTAAGTGCACTGTTTGTCTGTTGAGGCTCCAAGATTCTTCAAAAGAATTTCACTTAGCACCACAAGGTTAAAAGAACTTCTCGTAATGAAATCAATTCAATGTTATATGAAATTGTTATCCAGTCATTTCTCTTGTTCAAAGTTGTGATTCACACAAACACAGATCTGCCAACATGACTTGAACTATGTTGAGTCTGATAATGTCTTATTCAATGGTATTAAGCAATTCCTTCACATTTACATTAAATATGTGTGCTCCACATGTTTCTGGGAAAACAGGGGGCTGGAGAGACTGGGCTCCAATTACGAACGGGAGCGTGTTACACAACAACTCCTGAGAGAAAAATGTACATTGGAAGAGAAAAGAGAAGAGTCGAAGCAGCATTTTGCATTTAACTTAATCCAGACTTTTTGTGGGCTTCACTTTGATGGAGTTAATTTTCTTGTTAAGCATGGAATGAGAATGTAGTTGTGCATGAAAGCAGAAGAAGGTGAAACATTTTCAACCCCTCCTCTCTTCAAGATCTCTCCTCTCTTTAACAGCATCTGTTTTTCTGGTTAGGACACCACCGACATGTTTGCCTGTTTCCTATTTACTGTCTCTCTGTCTTAAGATGAGCCTTGCATGTTACTTTCTTGAACCATCTGACTTCAGTCTCCACATCTGGAAACAGTATTTCCCCTTTGCTCCACAGTATTAACATGCTGCATCTTGTTCATTGTTCTTTGTACTTTTTTAATATTTCCCTCTCAATGAATCAGCCTGTGGGAACATTCACATCATCCAGGAGATTTACTTTTATTCATCTCTTTCTCTTT